TCAGCTCTCAATAAGCCATAATGAATCCACTATTTGCACATGAGAGTATTTGACCAAGGCTTTATTTGCCATGAGCTTAACATTTTCGACCACTTCTAGAGGAAAACGGCTTCTGAGTAACAGCAGCCACTGAGGCAATGTGATGGTCCTGGGTATTTCATTCGAATCTGCACCCGTCTTTATAAGCATCCACCAAATCATATTTACCAGCACCGAGAGAGTTATCGCACAAAAGTACAGGAATCGGAGGCTTTCTAAAAGAGCAGTGTTGAGGCAGCTCAAATGTGTGATGCTTCATTTAAAGCACAGTCTGTTGAACCACTACTCTTCGTTTCCCGTCTGTCTAGAGCATCGTCTGCGTCAGGTGAAGTCCTCTGGCACCGATTAAAAGATTAATCAGACATTAAAACAGCGCAGTGGCTTCTCTCTGGCAGCTATGACATCATTGATTTTCCTCTGGATCGAGATGCACGGAAACGTCTTGGTTTAGAGTTGCACCATCTTCTAAATATACTCACGATGTCAGAGAAGCGTCATGTTTCGCTCGGTGCAACACTTCTTTTTTCCAGCATCACGGTGCTCTGCAGAAACATTTCCTCAGAAAATCAATTCCACTCAACACCTGTTATGTGTTTAAGGCAGCCACAGGGTAAGCAAAGGTATGATGTCATTCCGCAGTGTGTTTGCTGCATATTTACCTGTTACAGTAGCACAGAGATAGAAAATGTTGTGTCCTTGAAGAGGAATGGGATGCAAAAGATGGGGTGAGGATGTTTGTTCTGTGTAGTTTTTGGAATTGGCTCGGGAAAATGTATTAATCAACAGATAATAATCTAATTCAGGTACAAAAGTGATTTTTAGTCCAATTTTTGAAATTTAATTAATGACTATTAAGGCTTTACATCATCAAGTGTAAAGTATATCAATGGTTTATTGACTCCCTTTGGCACTGGGCACCATCTTAGATTAGCTGATAGTGACCTTCTGGTTGTTCTTATTATTATTACAATGTGGGATAATGTTAATAGAGCCTCTCAGCAGTTCTGGCAGAAACACAATTAGTTTTAAGCTATATGTCCTGCGGAGGATCTCCAGGGAATAGGGTCTGGATTTTCTCTGTGGTTTGCCTTTCACACATGCACAACGCAGTGCAAGGTTCTCTGCACGGTTCACTAGTGACATCAGTCACTTTCTATTTTAAGTTTCTTTCATTTTAGTAAAAAAAAACAGGGTTAAAAAGGATTTTTTTATAAAGGTAATAGCTCAGCAACCACCTCTCTGCAGGTTGTATGATGAAGCTGAGAGAAGCATGAGAATAATTCTGATTTGATTGAGTTTATTCAATCCATGTTGAGAATTCAGTATTCAAGATAAATATATAACTCAAATGAATTTAAATCATCTCTCTCTGCCTCCTTTGAGGATTTATTGACCTTATTTTTTCAATAGTACCCATGTTATGTATCTTTAATATGTTTGTGGAGAATAGACCAAACTGAAAAATGCATGTTGTGTATCAGGCTCGGCTCAGTGTCTTTTTGAGACACGTGAGCAGAACCATAGCATGACACTCTGTTGAAAATCCCTGTCGCAGTAAATGGTTGAAACCCTGACGTGACTCCACTGACTGAAATGCTAATCCTGCCCTCAGCGGTTCCCACTAGAATTGTAGTATTTTTGCTAACAAATTGAAACTATGCCATCGGTGCCACTGGAAGTTGTATGTGTCTGCACCTCCTGCCTTGAGACAGGAATAGATTTGAATAAGGATCAGTGAAAGATAATCACTTTTACCTGGATTCACCTCATTAGCGCGCATCATGCAAAGTGCAGAAGCCCTTTTTTATTCAGAGTTGCCCGCAGGGTCACATTACTGCACTCAAATCAACCACCTAAGGCAAGAAAACTGCTGCAGATGGTGATATATCTGAAACACGAGCAGCCTGATCAAGGGATGTTGATGGACACATCCATATGGAGCCTGGTCGGTGAGGCTGTTGGTTATCCCCATGACCTTTCACCCCAGCTACACCCTTCCTATGGCAGGCTTGACCTTTGCAATGGCCCTGCTGCTGGAATGATCCATTGATGGCATTTATTGTCATGCCCCATTTCCACTCCGCTGTCCATTTGGGGGTGATGGAATAGGATTGGAGTGGTGACCCTGTGCTCTGTGGAGGCTCCTGGGAGTCTGAGTCACCGTTGCATGTTCACTCAGTGTAATGACACACTCTGGCCTTAAGACACTGAGTACTTAACACAGTTATGATGGATTTTTCACTCTGCTCACCAAAGCCATTCCTTATTTCCTGAGCACATACAAAACACTGTTTTCCTCCGTGGTTTTATTGGTCAACCTTTCTTTTCTGTCTCTCTTTGTTTTTCTTGTTTAATATCTCTGTCGCTCGAACTGTGTATCTGTTGTTACACTCTTTTCTTCCCTCAGCCAATCTCCAGTCTTTCTCTCACTGTTTCTCTTTTTTCTTTGTCTCTTTCTGTCGGGCTATCTTGTCATTTTTTCCCAGTGGCTCATCCGATGAAAGAGCTGCACTGATGCTATCTCCTCTCCCAAACCGGACGTGTGTGTGTTTGTGTGTGTGTGTGTTGAGTGTCAGACAGCATGCTCCTCATAAGACTGACGCCCGCAGGCTAATGTCACAACAGTCAGCTGCATGCTGTATGACTGTGCAGTAAAAAGAGCCCACGGTGCTACCAAGTCAGTCCGGTGCGATCAATCAGTGACCCTTATAGGACCGTGATTCTAATGTATCGCTACAGTATGTAGTTAAAAGGAAACATGATAGACAATGAGCTGAATCAACTTCATGAACCTCTCAGATATAGAGGTCATATTATTTCTAGGGGTTTCGTGTAAAAGGATCCTACAGATGCCTGTTTTCTGCACATCAGTTTGGTAACAAAGATTAACAAGAATGGCCCAACTGTCCCCTTAAATTAAATCAAGCTGCACACACTCATAGATATCAGCCCCCTAAATGTGCCTGATGTTTTTAATCAAGATCCATGAATGATTCCCTGAGAAAGCAGTGAAAATGTAAACAAAACAAACCACATGATAAAAAAACTACTGGATCTGCCCCTTTGACTAAATCTGTGGAAAAAAATAAATGGGTTCTGTCTTGGCCCATTCTTCTACTAAGACTGTTGAAGCTCTGTTCAGTACATAATCCTGATGACAAACAAACCAGCAAACTGACAGGGGTGATAAGAACCCCCATCCACCGACACTATGTCTCGCTCAATGATTTAAACTCAACAAAATGAAACCTCAGTTTGATCCCCAGACTACGCAACATGAGTCCACAGATTAATCAGCTTGATGTTCTGTGAATGAAACTGAAACTGAACATCAAGAATACACCTTTAATGCCTTAAACTCCATGTAATGTAGTTCACCATCTGTCCAGGAGGAATTCACCACAGAGATTCATCATCCGAGGCTGTTTTTGTGTCTTTAATCCATTAACACTAATTAACACCATAATATGCCCAATTAGTGACCTAATTAGCATACCTGGTTAAGTATAATATATCATGATGACTGTGTCGGGACATTATGCAGAGGAACAAAAGTTCAGTGATCATGCAGCTCTGGACTCTCAGGCGAAAATGAAATGATGTAAATGTCCATCCACGGCTACTTGAGTCAAAACTGAAGCACTTGTCATGTCCCTTCAGTTCTGTTGTATTAGTTGGAAGAAACACGACATTATGCAGCTCCAGTGCCTCTAGAGTCCCGGTGGATTTCGATTTGAGTGGCTTTTAGCATTACAAAGCTCTTAAACAGCCACTTCTCTGATTCTGAACGTCATGTCTGTGTACTTGATGTGAAATTTTTACATGTTACATGTATCCAGTACACCGATTCACGTGTACTGCTATAAATCCTTTGCCTCATGACGCACAAGAAAACACAAAGACTGTAATTATAATTTACTCAGATCTAACTTGTGTTTTTTTTTCTTTTAAAGTTATTTTCAAATTCTATCTGATGTTTTGTGATTTTCTTTTTCCTGGTTCTCTTAAGACACACAACTCTGAAGTCTAACTTAAAGATATAATTTAATTCTTCATTAAAATGCCTACGTCCATCTTAACGACAACTCCCATGATCCCATGCTGCTTCATGATGTCATCAAACTAGGTCTTTTGTTATTGTCTTGATAGAGTGGCCTCTATAGTGGCCAAAGTTAAATGTTATACATTGAAGAGTCTTGAGCTGTGTTTTCCTACCTGGAGATATTCCACATTTTCAATTTTAATAAATCCAATTAAAAGATTATAACCAACTAATGGATTTAAACTATTCATTTTGCCTGTGCTGCCAGTGCCCGATCAAGTTTCCTTTTTTTTTTATTCCTTTGTGCAGCACACGTCCAAAGTCTAATAAAAACCCTCAGTAATCCACTGTTGCACGGGGTTATACATCCCTTTGGATACAGGACCCATGTTCATTACAATGAACATGGGTCCTGTAGTTTATTTTCAGTTAGTCCCATATGCTCTGTTCTGCTGCCTCACTGTAGGTACACAACACCAAATCTGCAGCTGGAAATAGGCCACTTTTTTATTTGAGTAATGATCTCAAAAACTGCAGTGCTCAGCTGTTTTAAGAAGCTACTTGATCTATATAAAAATGAACTCATATATTTGGCCTGTGTTTAAAGCTTGTTGTCTTCAATAAGAACAAATGAGCAACAAATAAGGCCGATAATTAGACCAAGAAGAAATGTGTGGTTAGATATCTATCCCAACAACACTTAAACTTACAGATTAGAGGAGCTGGGAATTAACCCACCAAACCATTTCAGTTTAGTTGGTGACCCGCTCTACCACCTGAGCCACAACTGCCAATTTGTCCTCAAAAAGCCTGGCTGCATTTGAGAGATATCAATTTACTGAAAACAACCAGACAGTCCCTGAGTGTTTTTTGATGAAAACAGGTTAAAGGCTGTGATGTGTCTGTTTACTGTCCTCACCTTCTTCAGTCGTCCACTTCTGGTGCCCAGGAAGACCACAGTGTGTCCGTTGTAGATGTAGGAGGTGACGGAGGTCAGCCTGTCCCTGCTCTCGGTGAAGACTGTCTGACCCGACACCAGCTGAGAACCCCCCAGTGGTTGGTTGATATCCAGGCCGCAGAAGTGATCATCGATGGGAACAGGCTGCAGGGAGAGAGCGGGGGGGGTGAAGATGTATGAAGGCAGAGTGTTTTAGAAATCAGGAGAATAGGTGAAAACAAGGAGGGATAGAAAAGGTGAGAGTGAAAGGAAGGAGCAGTGAGGATGGCAGATATAAGGAGGGGAGATGAGGGTAACAAGAGAGGGGGAGGAACATAAGTAGGAGCTAGAAAAATGACTGCGATCACTGTAGACACATGCAAATAGAAGAAGAGAATTCAAACTGACGTTTCGTAAGCTTCACATGCATTAAGTGCACAATCTTCAGGGGTAAAAACGGTTACCTCAAAGGGGTCCGGGCTGCTGCGTTTATCAACAAGCCTCGGAGCAGTCGGATTTTGCGGAGAAGACTAATTGCTGATGGCAAACACCAGAGACGCTGTGTGTTTTGCGGCCATTTCTGGGATTTTTTTCAAATCGCTTGATCTGACATCATACAAACACGCAGCACAAGAGATGTCAGGTTTTGATTAAGCATAAAAGGGAGCTGCGTGCTAAGCAGTCCTTGTACATCTGCTGAAATGCACCTCAAACCTTTGCTAATTGTCAGTCACTCAGCTGATAAGTCTTACTTTTTAGGGCAGCTAATTTCTCATTTCACTTCCTGTGCTTCCTATGCACATATTTTGCCTCACAGCGCTTTTCCATTCATCAAGTGGCGTTCCTGAGCTTTACTGAATGTGATCGGTGAAGTGATCCCAGCGTAAACAAACCTCATATCTCACCACTGCCATTCTCTTTCTCTTGTTTCTGACCTCCAGTCTTGTTAAAAGAAAACATCTGTGAAATCTGTTTTAACATCTGACTTAGAACTTTTCGGCACAAAAGTCTGCTGAATTTTTTATGTCACATTTAAGATAACCCCTGGAAAAGAGCATCAGAAACTATTATCTACATTTCAGTGCTGAAATAATATCACTTTTAGACTTGGGCAGGCAGTGTTGATATGTTGGTCAGTTGTTCCGAACATTTCTCAACAACTATCTTATATCTTTCAGTCATTGTTTCCAGTGGATTCATCCTTGTGACTTTAGTGAAACACTGACTTTTGCTTTTTTGTCACCATCAGGTTGATCTTTGGTCTTTTGTTGTGGATAAATTATACGCACTGATCTCCGGACATTCTCCTGAAAATCCCAGCGGGGCTATAAAATATAAATCCAAATTTCCTCTGGACATTTTTGGGAACTTTTCCTGCAGGCCCTCCAGTTAAATACAGAAGATTTCCACAGGAAGTTTCACAGCCAGTGGGCATGTTAATGATTGTCTAACTGGCAACAGACACAAAAATTTTGAAAAACAAAAAGAATCCAAATATCCCAGAATAAAAGAGCAGCTTGGACGTAGATGGTGCAGATGAATAATGTCAAGATTCAAGAGCTTTTCAAAATAAGGGCCAATACTGGTGTCGATAGAAAAAAAACACATGATTTCATGAGTGGAATTTATTCGTCATGTCCTGACTTCTGCTGCTCTACCCTGCAGCCAATGTTCCTGTTGTTGTTGTCGTTCTTTATATGTGAAAGGCAAACCTCAGAAAATGTTCATGTCTGAAAATGTCTAAGTTCAGTGATTTTTGTGTTGTGATTTGATATCTGCTACACATCAGCATGTTTGCATTGTCATTGGGGGCATTAGTATTTGGCCTAAAGCTTCACTAGAGCCTGTACACTCTTGTTATTTTGCACTTTCAAACTGAGTCAATCTGAATAATTAATAATTTAACCAAAGAATCCCATCTTAACAAAACTGAAACATAGCTCTTCATTTTCATTTTAGATATAAAGCTGTTCAGTTAACTCCATGCAAGAGTTGATTATTGATTTATCATGTATATCTCTCCTCCCTCAGTTGCCATCATGAATACATTTACATCTTACTTATTTGATGGCATGCTGGAACAAATGTACATGCAGTGGATGTGATGAATATCATTGTTTTCGTGGTGCGCTTTCAACTCGTTTCCATGAAAAGCCGCTCGTTATGCAGAATTATAGCTTTCACAAAGGCGCAGACTTGGACATTTACAAGAAAGCCCTTTTCTCAAGATCAAGAACAGGTCTCAGAGGGCTCGAATACTGCTGACAGGGACAAGAGCACAAGGAAGGAGATGGGGAGAAATGGTGGAGGGGGTCAGTGCCCAAACCCCTGAATGAAATCAAAGCTCCACACTTTTCTGATTAGCATTGTGGAATTAACCTCCTGCAGCTCTTCTGCTCTCATGGGATTCTGAAAACCTGAATGGTGACTTCAGCACAGTGATGGCGCTCTGCCTATCAGCTATTAAGGCTTCAATGCATCGCACAGAGGAGGGGACTCAAAGAGCCAACATTTAGTAAAGCTATTCCAGAGCTGCTCACCACCATGTGGGTTTGTTAGTCTAAACATGTGTGGATGCAAATGTCTACAACTCTGTGACCAGAATTATATTGTGCACAACATGATGTTATGAGCGTCGTGCTCTGTCTGTGTTTCTCTCTACCTACCGCCTTGGTGCACTGCACGTCCTTGCCCAGCAGCCAGTGCAGCTCCAGGTTTCCTTCTCCCTGGTAGCAGGACTGCAGCCGCTCCTTGATGCGTGTGTTGATGTCTTGGATGGTGAAGACGCAGAGGGCTGAGTGATCTGGAGGGTCGTGGTATTGTTTCTGTCCCTTGGAGAACACAGCAAAGACCACGTCCTCCTGAGCACTGATGTTGAGCGACCTTGCCAGGACCCTGCCGGGCTTGGTCAGGTAAGCGGCCTGAAGCAGGCGGTACTCCTCGCCTCTGTGTACGCATCCCACAGGAAGTGACACGTAGGAGTGGAACCTTTTGTCACCTTTGCAGAGGCGGATGATGCGAGAGGTGTAGAACAGGTCGCCAGGGGAGCTGCCTGCAGGCATCCCGTTCTCTGGAGTCTCCGGCTGGACGGTCATGAAGTAGACAAAGCTGCCGCTAGCAAAGCCATAGATGTAGTATATATCAAAGTGGGGGACGAGTGCCAGTGTGTCAGAGGGGATTTTGATGAGAGATGAAACAAAGTCAGTGTGAAGCTCGTAGTCCAGCATGGCGGAGGACTCTGGGTCACGAGGGAGCTTGCGGCTGGAGATGGTCGGGAAGTAGTCCTGTTTACCTCCAACAGCTGTGCCAATGTACAGAGTTGCATCCTGACCCTGCGAGGGCACGACTACCCCGTACATTGTCCCCGTCTGGTTGTCACTGGACAGGTAGTGTTCTTTCTTATGTGTGGGCTCCACAAGGATAAACAAGTCATCCAGCCTCATCAGCTTGCAAACGCCCTGGTAGAGGCTGCCACAAGCCAGCAGTCGGTTGTGAGAGTAGTCGATGAGCAACAGTTTGTTAACGTTGTCCGTGGAGGCCAAAGGCTCCGAGCAGGGCTGCACAATCAGAGGAGGATAACAAGCTTTGTTGTCATACTCTGGTCCTGTGTCATGGGACACCAGGAGGGTGAGATTAGACGACAGCTTGTAGATTCGGTTTACAGCTCCGATGTACAGAGCTCCAGTGGATTGATGCACAGTCAGGTGGTTCAGCGACCATTCCCTCCTTTCTGATTGAAAGGTATTCAGAGTCTGTCCAACTGTCGTTTTTTGATTTACAGAGATCAGAGTCAATAGCCACAGTGCCATGGGCCACAACATGACCTTTGGAGGACCGTGACCTTTAGTGGGGCCGCAGTAAGTCCATCCTTTATCCAAGCACGTCCCCATTCCCAAAAAAACACAAGGCTCAAACCAGCCCCTGGGAATCGTGTATCAGCAAGGAGCAGGATTAATCTGGAAAAGATGAGCTGAAGTGCGGTGTTGTCCTCCGTAAGTGATCTTCACATCATTCTGAAAGAGGAAAAAGAGACATTTGTTTTAAACTCGAAATATCCTTGATTCTTTTCAGAGTGGAGGTGTTCGTTCAGGGTGTCATTAGACACTTCATAAAAAACCTTGTTTTCCCTTCTATCTCTGCTTAGTCAGAGATGCTTACTTGTCTTTCATGTCTCATCAAAGAAACAAGTAAGCATTTGTTCAAACTGTCTCCTCGTATGTACGAGGCTGAGAGATGGCCCAATATCCCCCTTATCGACAGGGGGGCTCATTATATCTGCCTGTCTGTAAGAGAGAACTAAGTGTGGCCTATTACTTGAACAAAGCAGTGACACATTGTAGCTGTGCTCTCCCTCTGTTTGGGTGGCTAATTAAATGATCCAAATGCATTAATTATGAGTCCATATTTTGGGCTCCCTGTTTTCCTCTCTCCCCTCTGCCTTGTTCGTTTAAATGGTTGAATCCAAGAGGAATTAATCACTCTCCACTGCAGCCGACATTCCTAAATTAATCAGGCTTTTTCCAGGGACGGCAGGGAGTCATTAGAGATTTAGAGCCAGGCAACATCCACGCTCACACTTCCGTGTTTAATTTCATTAACATATTTTATGTAGATATTTCTGGGGGGGGCCAAACAATGTCCCTCAAATGCATGATGGACTGAAGGATGGATGGGTTAGATGCATGGCAAAGGATGTGCGATGCATTTACAGCTTTTGTGTCCCTTGTCATAACCATTTTGGGATCGATGTTTTCATCTGATGCAAGGTGCTTTACGTTTGGAAAAAGCAAACGTGTTTTTACCTAAAAATAAAGACAGACAACAACAAAAGCTTTGTGTTAAAATGGCTTCACATGCATTCTTACTTCATTGAAGTCCATTAATGGAGTAATAAAACTGCCTGCATAGGAGGACAGACCATAAATTAAGACACCAACATCATCATCCTGTTTGCTTGCTGCTAGAAGCTTCTCCAATCTGCCTCCCAAAGGTTGTTTCTATCTCCCTCTTTGTCCTCTCCATTTCTGTGCCAGACGCTCCTTCACACTCTTTTAATGATATTTAAAAATTAAAGAATAAATAGTATTCCTGTCTGAGTCAAATGTCTTAAAATGTCCTTTATGGATTTGCTGCCAAATGCAAGATGACTTTAGCTCAAAGGCAAGTGGTTTTTGGCCAGAGCGAACATGGGTGTTTTCTCAGCAAGACTTCCTGGTATAAGTAAAGGTTAAATGAAGACAGCCATGTCAGAGCCTAACGCCCGGGTCATGAAGCGGTGGGTGCTCTCCGTTGGCACGCTAACAGGACGTCCGGCTGGGTTGAGTCGGAGCCAGGGATGAAGCGGATGGACTGACACTGAGCCGGCTGGGTCGACTCCAGCTCCACTCCAGCGTCTCCCGTCCATCTGTCCCCACCGCACTCACACTGGGGGAGAAGTCACTTGAGTGTCTCAACCTACTCTGCTCAATTTGGCAGACTCAGTGTGTGAGCAACTCCACCAGTAATTGGCCACCGAAGAGTAATATGTTTCACACACTGTTTCGCTGCTTTTGAATCTAAAATTTGATGTTTTTCTCCATTTTCAACACACAAACACTTCCCCACTCCTACATGAATCAATCTCAGATGCTCTGATTTTCACTAGCTGTATCTGTCCCTGCTGTAAATGTTGGATGAAAGCTTAATTTATTTCTTGAATGGACACAGAAAACTCATTTTGCTTTTATTAGTTCTCTGAAAGCTGTTGGATGTAATAGATTCTGTATTTTTGGTGAAATGGTGTCCAGTAAATTCCCCCTGAATCTGCCCTGCAGGCTAATGAGTCCCTGAACCAGTTTCTGTGTCGACGTTGCCACAATTCTCATTCATTTGTCCATGTGGAATATGCAGATGAAAGGGGTATTCAGATATTTCTGAAATGCTTTCAGAGGAAGCAGTGACATCTGAATGCTTTGACAGCTTATGGGTGAACTGAAATATAAATTATTCGCGGTATTCACACGCTTGTTTTTAAATAAGCCAAATAAATGAAATTACTGGTCACCGGAAACCTTTACTCTGATGGAGTGCAAACCTTTTTTGACCATGATTTGATGCAGACTGTTCTCGTGTGAAAGGCGATGCTGGAATGGGATGTAAGTCAATAGAGTTGTTTTAAAGTGGGCGTGTTAGAACACAGAAATCTGACTCAATCCTTTGTGCATATTTTTGTGCTGCCACAAAAAGAAGCAGAGAAGTGAATTTTCTGTTAATTAAATCAACCCGGCCTGTCGCTACCTCTGCTTTGCAGCATCAAACGGACATTCTTGAAATAACACTACATGTTTCCAGGTGCGGTGCTTTGGTGTAATTTGCATTGTAGTCTCGTCACAACCTGCAGCTGTCCTGTTCCCGGCTACAAAAAATAAATAAGACAGCACTCTTGAGGTGCAACAGCAAATAGCAGAACAAATGATATTTGGGGAGGAAGACTTGAATGCATGACCTTAAACAACAGACACCAGCAGTGCCACCCAGAGGTTAATTCACTGCTGAGAGTCTCCAGTCGAACCCTCAGAGGAATTACAAAAGACTGGAGAAAAACAAGAAGATGAAATAGGAAGTGCTGGTGGCTAAAGGAGCCGGGCGAACATGCAGGCAAGCGGCAGTAGCCTCGGCGTTTCATTCATTTCTGTTCTGCCGGCTTTGGTCACGTCTAAGGCGTGCAGTCATGCTGCTCAGTGTTTACCCTGGATTATAGAGACAGCTCTTCGCCCTGCACAGTCCTCCCCGCTGAATTCTCCGCCTCGCCACTCAGACACGCTCCAGCCAAGACATGACTCATTCACACTCGCGCACAGGAACACGGTTTGCTGGGGCCTCTGGGGACACCAATCACAATCGCAACGCACAGACAAGGGAGAAGCCCGCCTCTTGTGCTGCACAGACTCGACCCCTTGACCCGGATCACGATCAGTGGAACCAAATCCATCCCATGGGTTCAGCTGTTATTGGGGTGAAATGCTGTCAGAGCGTCTGCAGTGCCCAGTTAGGCATGATTCATGGGACAGAAGCTTTTCTTTTTTTTTTTTACATCTCTGTTTTGTTTGACCCATCTGTCATCAGAGATTAACTGAAATGTACAAATGGGGATATTTCTATTTTAAACTGTCCATGCATCCCTGTCACTGTTTACTCAAATTTGATTGTACGAAGCTCTGCAAAAAAAAATCTTTACCGTAAATTTACAAATAATTAAAAAAGTTAAAGGCACAGTGCGTAGAATTTTGTGATATCTAGTGAAATGAAATTGCATGTTGCAGCTGAACACCCCTCACCTCACCCTCCCCTTCCAAACATGAAAAAGAACCTGTGGTAGCTTCAGTTGTCATGAAAACTCAAAAGGTGTTTAGTTTGTCCAGTCTGGACTAATGTAAAAAACATGGTGGCCTCCATAGAGAGGGTCCCCTCGATGTAAATATAAAGTATTTAAATATAAAGAGCCTTTTCTACAATGAACTAGTGAAAACATCATGAAGATTATTTTACATTAAATTTCTACCAATAGATCCCTTTCACCTTAATCTTACACACTGGAGCTTTTCTGTAATTACATTTTCAAACAGCACAAAATAAACCCGTAAAAGAGAGACACATTTAGCACAAACATCACAGATCACAAGTGTTCAACTTCAACTTGTTTGCGTTTTGGATTATCGATTTGTGTGTGAGTTTGGGAGTTGTGTCAGCAGATAGCACTATGATCTTTCTTAAGGTCAGAAGAAACGTCTCTGTTCTCACACTTAGTCATCAATTGGAGTCATTGTCATCCACGTCAGAGGTGATACAAAACTGTTGATTTTTTTTTGTGGCCTAGATTTATAAGGCCACAAAAAAAGTAATAACACTGTTGGACCATGGGGTTGTCCTCATAATTACAGGCAGAGACAAGTGTTTAACACAGATCTGCTAATGGAAGTTAGTAAAGTTCCTTCTTGGGGGGTGATTTCAGATTCATTGAGGATTAGGCTGCAGCACTTCTTCTCGCTCTCCTGCACATTTTTATTTGCACTTACAGTGTGTAAACTCCCAGGACCTGATGGGATACTTTTGTCTGGGGGGGTTTCTGCAAATCTACATGGACGAGTCAATGTGGGGGGAGGGCCAGCATTGTAGGCATTACAGATGAATGAGCTTGTAGGGCGCCAGCCGCAACAGAACTTGACTTCCAAATGAATAAATGAAGGCAATTAGTAGAACTGTTTACAATGTTGTGGAGACAGAAGTAGGTCAAACGTGGCAGAGACAGGCAAGAGGAGGGAGCCGGCGAGCCAGAGCCAGGGGCTGTCACTGGTACCTACAGTGATGAGTCGGGGAATTAGGACATGAAAATGCCGTCTTTATTAACAATGACTTTTAAGTGAATGTCATATTCAATCTCAAGGGAGTGGTGTGGGGTTTATTAGAATAAGCTGTATTTTGTAATCAGTCCACCGTGTTTTATCTGTGGCTGCGTTGTGGAGGGGCAGCCCAGGGCGAGAGGCCCCGCCTCCTACGGCCCCCGTTAAAGAAAAAACACAAACGCGGGCCTCTGAGGGCAGAATGTGTAGCGTGGCTGCTCATTCTGCACATACCCACAGGATATCAGTGAAGTTCTGTGACAGTTGGCCTGTGGCTAATTTTCATCATTATGTTCTACAATGTAAATTCAAACAGCAGCGCATCCTCTGGACATTTCTCTCTGTCAGGCAGAAACAATCTTACACCCAGTATTTAGATAAATGACAGTTCTTTCATATGAGTTTTCACTAGAAACCAAAGTAAATTACTGTTATTCATTTTGCTTTATCGTACGTTCCTCTGGAATGGTCCATGTGTGTGTCAGCATGGTTTCATATTAACAGAAACAAACTGTAATTGCTTTTTTTTTTTTCCATTCTTGTTGTTTGGTTTATTGGTAGATAGTGCAGATATTGCAGCCTTTAGGACTCTCCAGCCAGCCACTAATTTTGATGGTGGCCTTCTGCAGGGAACA